ACCGCGGCTCCTTCAACTTCAGCGCCTTCCTCGGCGAGTACAGGCTCTCCGTCACCTACCTCAACCGCACTGCCGACGCCACCTTCTCGCTGGCTCGCAGCGACGACACCAAGCACATCAACATCCGTCTGCCAGCTCCAGGACCTGCTGCAGCCTGATCATCGATCGGAGGCCAGACCGTCCATATCGCGGCTCTTCCTTCACGTCCTTGCATCCCTCGAGTAGAAATGTACGTGGTAGAATTTATTTAAGAACCATGGTGTGGTGCCTCTGTGTTCGTTGGTGTCAGAAAAAAAAATCGCATCCAAAACAAAAAGAAGTCCGTGGATTGATCGATAGAGTTACGCGCACAAGTATCTCCTGCTTGCCCTATTATAATGAAATAAAATGCCAAGCACATTCGCACAAAAAAAAAACTTCAGCTTCTACAACCAAACTTTTGACTAGAGACATGGAATTGATAGTAATCCATGAAATCTGTTGTTTTTTTTCTCTACAGAGACTTTCTAAATCTCACTCTCTAAATCCATTTAAAAAATCATTTCCATAAAAATATATTTCTATATCTTTTCGCTCTCCAACAGTTTTTCTATATCTCATGCGCACTCTAGAGAGTCATTCTCGTCTTCTATTTTTGGCTAGCCAGAAATCCGGAATAGAAGATGGCTATATTTGATAATCATTTATAAAAAAATATTGGAGGGTATTTTTTCACCAAAATCTCTATTCCTAACATTTAGAAAGGATTTAGAGTCTATTGGAGTTGCTCTTAGAGGTTTTGAAGTCCATGCAAGTATAGCATGCAAAAGCTCTTTTGATGACTCTTTGCTAGTGCCTAGTGGTGCAACAAGTTTCGAAGGTGTTCCAATGTTTAGAAGGGTGCTGAATGTATATCTTGACAAATATCTCGATATCATCGTATGCTTTGACGAATTTTGAATGCGTTAAATTAGTAGGCAAGAGAACAGTGGGGCCAATGTTAGCATAGCAGGCATGAGTCTGCCATGTCAAGGAGTGACATTTTCATATTATTACAAAAAACTCTATGAAAAAAAACAATGTTGGAACAGAAATGCTTTGCCCCTTTGTCGTGGGTCACGACGGCCCAAACGGCCCACTACGTCTTGCCCTCAACAACTCCACTCCAGAGACACGACCTTCACTCGTGCCCGCGCCGCCGTGGATTCCGGCGTGGTCCACGGCGACCGCTACAACGAGCCCGGCCGCCTACCTGGCGCCATCGTTCCTCTCCACCGGACCTCCCTTCGCCGCTGCTCCTACTCCGCCGGTCGCCCCGTCTGACGGCGCGGGCACCGCCGTGCCCACGCGTGGGGACCGCTTTCTTGGCCGCGAACTGGCCACCCAAGGTCGTTGCGCGCGTGCTCGAGCCCGATGACGCCGACAGGTGCCGCCGGTGCAAGGAGAAGCCCTGATGCAGACAGCAGCGGACGCCGTACCGGGATACGATGCATGTTGCAAGCGTTTTTCAAATGTTTCAGATGTCTTAGAGGTATGTTGCAAGTGTTTCATACGAATGTTGCAAAAGTAGATCGGGATGTTGCATATGTTGCAATGGTTGTACACGTATGTTGCAAGCATCTATCCCCAATATTTTATCAGTTTTTAGGCGATGTTGCAAGTGTATTTATCTGGATGTTGCATATGTTTCACACACATGTTGCAAGTGTTTTATCTGAATGTTGCGTATGTTTGCAATGGTTTTCAAGTGTTTTTAGGTGTTTGAACAAGTGTGTTTAGACGCATGTTTCAAGTGTTTCATCTGCCTTCAGATATATGTTGCAAATGTTATATCTGGATGTTTCAAAAGTAGATCGGGGTGTTGCACATATGATGCGCGTGGGTTTAGGGTTTAGGGATCCTATCATCAAGGCATGATGGTTTGAAGGATGGAGGTTAGACTTCAATAGGTAGATTCATCATCGTTCTTTCAAGGGATATTGCAGTACCCCACACCTAACAATGCGCTACCATCATAAAAGGCAGCACTTATAAAAGTCCAAATATCTCTTCATATTATAATCTTCAAAGATCACTCAAAAGAGTCATAAGCGTAAGCAAAAAGTAATAAAATGTTTAACACGCTGGACCGGTCCTCTTTATAAAGAAAGAAAAATAGTTGACTCCAACTCAAATGACAAAACGCTGGTAAAATGTGTGCCACCTATGACCCATGCTCATGCTTCTACTACGCAATCTTTAGCCGCTTGATTCAGGGCCTGCTTTGGTGTTTGCTGCCGTGCTTATTCCTCATTACTATCGCTAAGCAGTTCTTTTGTAATCACAACCGTGTTAGCTTTGGGTGTGTTTGGCTTAGTAATCACCAATTACTGTCAAAGCTTTGTATTGTTAAACTCTACTTTTGCTTAATGGAAAACGTGCTTCGACACGATTGCCAAGAAAACCTAGAATAGGAAAACAAGTGGGATGGAATAATCTTAGCAAGTATACCAATACAACAGAGAAGCGATATTATAACAAAAAAAACCAAGAATAGGATTAAGGGTTCTGGGTAGCCACGGTCAGTTATGGCTACGGCACGACAAAGTGGGATACAAAAGGGATAATCACTAATAGGATCATGAAGCAAGATGGATATATTCAATCTTGCCAGCAATAGCTAGCTACCCCTATCGATTCATTCTGATGTGTACCTATGCATAGGTTAGCATTGATGATCCTTACTGCCTTATTGGCACTTACTGGCACACATTTGTTGCCGCCTCTTCGCTTCCCTTTCGCACGCAGCCAGCAATCTGATGCTATTGATTTTGTGCGGCATAGATAAACGTTCATAATTCTTACCGCACTTGCTTAGGACTTCAATCCCTTTGTAGATAGATAGATCTATGTGCAGAAAGTAATATTATTTTGCTCAAGCTTAATCTCTTCTCTGCATATCTAGTCCTCTTCGGTTGGACACCATCTTAGTTTGCTTAACCTAAGCAAGTTTCCTCTCCAATCTGTTTTTGATCCAAATGCTTCTCTAATAGTAGACTTAGATCGAAGCTCCATCATGTCCTACCTTCTACCTTCTGGACCTTCTGCTCTATCAATAATCTCAGGTTTGTTCGTAGGATGTACTATGAAAAGATAATGTGTGCTATATGAAATGATGAATGCCCCGTTTGGTAGTCCTTTCCGGCTCCGCTCCTCCGGCTCCTCCAAATGGGCCCTACCAAATGATTTAGTAGGAGGAACACAACCAAAATGTTTGATGTAACAAAAGTTAACCATCTAAAAAAAAAGTAAGTTGGTCAAATTTCTTATGTTTAACTAGCCACTATAGTAACAATATCCTAGTGTTCAGAGCATTGGGCACCTGCTCAATTTGTTTTTTTTACTAAATCCTGCTCAATTTCTTTTTGCCATTTGTTTTTTTTCTACAACTTTTAACTTAATTAGATTATATGTATGTTTTGGTTTAAACTTGAAAAGTGTGATTATGAATGCTTATTTTAAGTTAACCTTGTGATTTGGTTTCTCTGTGTGAGTACCATCTTTTATTTTAATTAATTAAGAAAATGAAAAATCTATTGACAGTTAACTTACTTTTGTTATGTATGCATGCCAATATATAATGGTTCACATTATATATACTACTTCATTATATGCCTCTCTATTTATTATTATACTATATTGTGTTAATATATTTGAAGTTCTCTAACACACAGGATGCGTGAGGTATTCATCTAGTTAATCTAATGGTTGAGATAATTTGTAATAAATATTCAGAGAAAAGTTTAAAATACTCCCTCCAAATTTGACCTATGTTCAAATAGCCCGCTAAGCTAACATTTGGTTCAATTACTCTTTCAAAATACTTAGATTGGTCCAATTTACACTTCAAAAAGATTTTCTTTCTCTATGTACAAATTGTGTTTTAGTTTCAAATTTTGTGAGGTGATAGAGGATATCATATTTTGTGTTAGAAAAATATATTACAATTTTTTCATCATTATGTTGTGTACGATATTATATCTCTAGTGTTAATTTATTATTAAATTTCCTAAGCTATCAAAACAGTGACAAAAATTAAGATATAATTTTCTGCCATAATTTATGATGGCCTCTATCACGTCATCAAATTTGATATTAAAACTTAACCTCTATGTGGAGAAACAAAAATAACGAATCATATTAAGGGGGGTAAACTAGACCAACTAAAATAGTTGGAGGGAATAAATTCAACCAAATGTTAGTTTAGAGGTTATTCGGACCGTAGGCTAAAACTTTGGGAGAGTAATTTGTTTTTTCCCAAATATTTAATATTTACGACTACTTTTAGACCGCTTTTGGAACGTAGAAAAAAATTCTATTTCTTGTGTTTTTTCTATAAAAATAAACTGATTTTATTAAAAACCTGTTTGAGACGTAGGAATTCCAAAAAAATCAGAATTTCAGAAAACGTATACATGAACATGAAAATTTTCCAGCGCTCCAAACGTTCCCTAAGATTCCTGTCAAATTCGAGCATTCCAAATGGACGACGAGTATCAGCCTGTTCGAGAGGCCGTATCGTATCGTAGATTATTTACTGTTGGCTGATTTAGTGTGAGAGAAAAACACTGTTCCCGGCTAGAAATTTATGATCGTTTACGAGCGAGCGAACAGGCTGTATAGCGTGGATGCTGTTATGAAATGACAGAAGAAAGAAAAGGCCCAATCATCCCAGCGCAGAGCTCGAGCCCGCAGCCTGCCTACCCCCTCTCGGTGGCAATCAAATCCGGTGGGCGTGCAGCGGATCTCCATCTGGTCAGCGTGGATCGGATCTCCGGCGGTGTTTCTCGCCTCCACGGCGGTTATTGGCGGCGGGCGGACCACGTCCCCGCAGCAGCGGTCAGCGGCGGCTGGCCTTGCTGCGGTGGCTTGAGGCGGCTCTCGGACGGGTGCCTCTGGTAACCACTGGCGCCAGCCGTCACCAACCTGCGCCTCATAGCGGAGCTCAGGAAAAGCGGTGGGACGGAGAGAGTGAAGAGGAGATGACTAGCCTGTCGATCACAGTGATGACGCTGAACCTGCATGAAGGCGAGCAGCCGAGCGAGAGTCCCAACAGCTGGGAGAAGCGCCGGGACATCTGCGTCAGCGTCGTCACCAGCTACTCTCCCACCATCCTTTGCACCCAGCAAGGTAGGTGGTGGTGATACAAATCATGCGAGCCTGGGCTATCGCATCTGTTGTACTCAATTGATTGGTTGGAAAGCGCAAGTAGCTACTGATTTTGTGTGTTTTCTTGTTAGATGTATGTAGTGCTGTCGCGGCAGACTAGGGATGGAACTGAACTTGATGCTTGCTAGTCTGAGCTAGGTTTTATATTTCCGTTCTTTTTTCCCTTATTGGCAAAGAGGTGTTCTACCTGAATTGGTCAATTCTGTTGTCTCTAGGAGTTGTTCACTCGATTAAGTTCTGGAGTTGTTAATTCCTATGAGTGGGATTGTAGTTCTTGAATTTGTGTTCCACGTCTGCATGGTTGCTAATTCCTGGCTGGTTTCAGCTCTAGCCTGCACCAACTTGCTTGGGAGCAACTCGGGGACATCCTAAATGGATCCGAATCCTTAGATTTAGTAATTTGGAGCTAAAAACAGCCTCAAACAGTTCCCCAAAGAAGGTCTAAAAAATTTGAATATCCCAAATCCAGAGGTCTCTCTCCACTTGTTGAGATCAAGGTTTGCTCCCAATACACTGCGGGGCCAGCTTCCCCGCACGCTCCGAAGTCCTGCTCCCTGCTCCTGTGGACCACACCATCGCTGAATGCGCTGCCCTTCCAGCCTGTTCCTGAACATCCTTATTTGGCAATTGCTGAGGAGCAATACTAGTCTATTGTTTTGTGTCAAAATCATTGCAGTGTAGTGAATGCATCTGCAGTCTCTTGGATTGACTATTGAGCAATACTAGTCTGTTAGATTGAGCAATGCCTGTCTCATCTGCAGTGTAGTGAATCCCTGTTCACTGATTCTGGTCACATTTCTATTGATTCTCGTCTGTTAGTTTGAGAATGATGTTTTCTTTTGTTTTGTTTATCAATGGAAATGACTGTACAGTTTCAGTAAATCCCTTTACAGTTGGTAGTTTGCCTACGTGACAAAAAATTAGAATATAGGGAGCCAGATTTGGAGAATATGCTGGATAGGAGATGCGTGTTGGAGCCTGAATATTGGATAGGACTCTCTAAGGATATAGAGAACCATTTTTTAAACTCTCCTGGAGATGCGTGTTGGAGCCTGCTTTGTTTTTTTTTGTCATAGGTCACATTTTCTGTTGTGTTTCTATAGGTTTTTATTATTTTCGTTTGTAGGCTAATAAAAATAGTGGGTTTGGTATGCAGGCTTAAGATGGCAACTGGACTACCTACAACAGTGCTTGCCGGGTAATTCATTCACTCCACACTGTTTTCTACTCATCTTGCCTGCTGACTTGGCTACTGTTTGATGATAGTGATGCAATTTATGCATAACTAGAAAGATACCCTGTGTGTTGCAGCAGTTGTTAGAAATAAATTGTTGCATGCATAGGTTAGGCCTATCCAGATCTATTCGGAACCTAGCCAAGCTAATGGAAGAACCCAATAGAAAAGGATAACCGAATAATTTTTTTTTCTCGAATACGCAGGAGAACTGCGTAGACTAACTAGAAGAGAAAAAAAACCCCTCTGAGCCTAGACTGAAAAGGACAAGCGAGGCTCATCTAACCAAGCTCTCCAGGAGGATGTGATGTTCAAATAAATAGTATCGTGTGGATAACTTGCATGTTGAGATAAAAAAATAGTAATTGGACTTAGTGGAGATGATGTGGATACCTTTTGCACTTAGTGGGTGATGATGTGGATGGCTTGCATGGGTGGTGATGTGGATGACTTGCATGAAAACATTGAAATGTTAGTGGCTGACGTGGATAGCATGAAGAGTAGTAATTGCACTTAGTGGGGGTGATGTGGATGTCTTGCATTAAGAGAATGAGAATTGAAATGTTAGTCGATTGTGTGGTTGGCTGATGTGGATACCGTACATGAAGAAATAGACTATCATAAATGCATCCTAGTGCGGATGTTCCTTATACCTTCAATCATCATTGTGCTTGTATTAGCTTTCCTTTTAGAAAGGCTTGCAATCTATTAGTGCTAAACCATCACAAGAAAAAAATGGAGGCTAAATATTTCTGGATTGATTTGTAGAAATAAAGATCTTTGTAGTCCCTAGTATCATTGTTTTAGCTAGGCGGCTGGTGTGTGCGCGTGGAAGGAGATCGCGCGCACAGGGCGTCATGGGTGGCCACACGGCTGTGGAGTCAGTGGCATGCAAGAGAAACTAGGGTGGGCAGGGGGGGCAGCTCAAGTTCGGGTACAACTCTATGTCTAATACGGAGTACTGCATGGATAGTCAGCATCCTTGTTATCCAAACCTCTATAAATACTGTTACCCAACCCCACCATCTTCCACATACAGAAGAGTTCTGTATTTCTGTCTAGTCCAGAAACAAGTACTAGTTTACACTCTGTAGCTCGTACCTGTTAGACAAATACAAGTTTATAAGCATACGATGTTGGACACTTAAAAGAGAATGGGTTTTATTAGTTGATCGACATGTATCAAGAAGTTGAATGAACATGCTTTTGCTCTCATCTAGGTTATGAACAGTTTGGAATCTCGAGAAAAGGCTCACAGGACAACACTGATGAATACTGCACAATATTCTATGAAAAGGAGAAGGTTTAGCATTTCTGGCTAATCATTTCTGTACACTCTTCAGTAATTATCTCATTGCACTTCAAAAAATATCCATCCTTCTTTTATAATCCCAAATGTTGAAAGAAACAATAATGTATATTGATGATATGAACTTCCATGCATTTATTGAAGGTGGAGCTTACTGAAGGTGGCACCTTTTGGTTGTCGGAATCACCATCAGTTCCAGGAAGCATTTCATGGGGAGCAAATGCACCTTGCATTGCAACATGGGCAATATCCTGTAATGCAATGCTTTTCTTGCTTTTTATTGTTCTATTGTTTTCTTAGTATCTTGGTTGTAGGTGAAGATTGTTGCCTTAACATGATGTACACACGTTTCAACTCAAAAGACTAGAACCACCTGGATTCAGTTTCCAGATCGTAAACACAAATCTTGATGAAGTTAGCCCTCGTGCTCGACGAAGAAGTGCTTTACTTACATGGCAACATATAGCATCGCTGCCACCCAATTTGCCTGTCATCTATTGTGGAGGCTTCAATACACAGAAGGAATCTATGACTGGGCGGTTTTTGCTTGGCAGATCCAGGTAATAACTTGGTGGAGGATTTGAATTTTTGTTGAAATTAACATGTCATTTCACATATAACCATTTCATGTATGTTCTGCAAGGATTTTATTTTTATTCTGTTATTCGTGTATGCTCAAACCAGCCTTTGAGGTAAAACTACAAATAGGAGGTACATTTGTTTAATTTTGTAAAAAAAAAACTTTTCCCCTTGCATCAATTCCCAACAGTTTGTGAATATGGCCCATCCCTGCAATGCAACCACCAATGCACACCCACAACCTTCTACGACTCTGCAGTTCCTAGGTACTTGATATTGTAAGCATTCAAACTTCAGGAATTAGTCCAGTTTAAATACCAGAACTTACATAATTTGAAAAGTCTTGCATTTAATACTTTGGCTATTTTGGAAACATCGTTCGGAAGGCTTGTAAGATACGCAAATGTTTCAATGACATATGGAATTAGGAAAAATCAATGGTTGATACTATCATACATCGGTGGCAATGCCTGTATGCTGTGGCTACTCTAAGAGCACTGAGATCATATTGAACTGAATATGTATTTTTGAACTAAAGGCGCAAACATGAGCATTGATATGAATGCATTGTTTACAAGTGTTCTGCACTCTGCAGTACATCTATTCTAACAACTAAATCTGCAATACAGTCCGTTGTGGGCAAGGCCCAATAGCGGCCCAAAATCTCTAACAAAATTGTCAGACTACTTGATACTGGTCCAGTTTCAATATTGGTTGCATGTCATCAGATTTTACATATGTTTCGCCAGTGTGGCTATATGGCAGGGGATATAACCTATGTTTTGGTCATAGCAACGCATGGGCACTCAACTAGTATGGAATTAGGAAAAAAATCAATGGTTGATACTATCATACTACATAGTTGAACTGTTTAATTAACACATTTGATATTCTTTACCTTCTTGCTCAAGAGAAGAAAGGTGGTAATTGAATGGATGGATGACTACTTACTGTCTGAAAATGCTTCAGTCTTCTTGGAGAATGGGTTTCTCACCCTCCACATTTTTCATTTGTGCGTTGATCAATACTGACTGCGGACTCCATTTGGGATTTTAAATAACCTTTTTGAACTGCTTTGTTGGATCCATAGAGAAATTAACCCAATGAAACATATCGTCAGGGTCTCAAATACACCTCTTGGGCCATTACTTTAAGTATCTTCCATTAGATGTTTATGGGAATCTAACCATTTGATAGGAACTTTAAATATAAACTTACTAATAACACTTTTATGTGACCTAAACCCTAAAACCTAAACCACATCTGAATATTATTTGCTACTTTTATATATATTTTTAATATGTATCTCTGTGTTTCAGTGAAATAACTGAGCAATTTCCTTCAGTACTTCAGTTGACGCAGTTCTTGGTTATGTTGTTACAGAGAACATGGTGTTGTTGGTGATATGAGAGATGCTTGGCCAAATGCTCGAGTGCGAAAAAATGTTTCACTAATACACACATATCATGGATTTAAAGGTGCCCCTGATACTTCATTTAGGTCTTTTTTTTCTAGTTTCTTTTGTCTTCTTTTCCAGTTTCCATTGTAAAATTGCAATGAAAATTTTGCATTTATTATGCCAAAATAAAACTTTGAATTGAGGAAAAGAATGAATTGACAATGTTACTTGGTCGTTTATTCAGTTCATGTCGGGATAAATCAAATTTTAGTCTTTTGGCTTTTACCTAATCAGCTTCTTGAAAAAAGTGCCATAGGTTACAGTTTTGCATTATTATTTTATGTATCGTGATGACTTTGTACTAATATGCTCCATGGGCGAATATTGAGATCCGTCCACTATAACTAGTTATCTTTTTTAGTTATACCCGCCTTTCTTGTTTAGTTGCTTATCCTAGTATCTGTTTTATCAATCTTATACTAAATAAGTGTTCTGTTGCAGGGGAGAAACAAGGTGCCCTAGAATTTCTTAAATTAATATTTAGAGCTCTTTGCCTCTGCTGGGATCGACAGACACAGGACTTGCATATTGACTGGATCCTATTTAGAGGACGCCCACTGGTTCCTGCACTTTGTGAGGTCATAAATGACAATATAGATGGTGTTTATCCGTCATCGCACTTCCCTATCTTTGCTGAGTTTTTGCTTCCACGCTCAGTCCGCCTAGCCGAGACAACTTCATAGCCATTGTGTCAATTTTTTGTTATATTTTTCCCAATCTTATTTTCATTATGGCTGATTGTTTCTTTCGACCACTTCACCATGGTCTTTCGGTAACCACCCTTTACTACCATTGCTGGGTTTCTTTTTGTCACCCCATTCCGCAAAACAAGACAATACACATGTGCATCCTTTTTATGTATGTTTCCTGTCAGTAGTCCCTGTCATGTGTTGCCTCAGCGTTGCTACCTTTTTTAAGTTCACCTTGAAATTTTTGATGCATATATGCCCTGTTCGCTTGTCTCATGAGGCGTACTATTTTGACGAACGAAGTGTTTTTTTTTCACAACAAATTAACGAACATGACTTTCAGCCATGGCTTTTCAGCAAAGCGAACAAGGCCATATACTGTATCTTTACATGCTATTTATCACAATTGTGAGAGTTCAAGTAAATCCGGATGTAATGAAAATTTCAAGCTTCCCTTTTTTCACATTCTTATATACATCTGTGGTCATCCACTGTCACCAAAGTTTTTTTTTGTTAACTCAGATTTAGAAGCAGAGTAGACAGTTCAGGGAATAAATCACTGTAGGCAACTCTCCATCACACACGAGTGGTCACACGGAGGACTCTGTTTCGTGGAGTGGAGAAGCTCTGTAGTGGACGCTTGGTGAAGAAGTTCTATAATGGACACATCGTCAAGGTAACACGAGTCTCGGCGTCCTCGCCTGGTCCCCTTCTTCATGGAGTTAGGCGGCAGGGGCGGAGGAGAGGCTGGTGCGCCGCCGGCACCGGCAAGGGCACCAGCCCCCTCGGTGCAGCGCGGTGGCTCAGGCGAGGGTCATGTCGGGGCGGCCCCCAGCCATGGACCAGCCCCCCAGCCACGGCAGGGCGAGGCCCCCTTGGCGCGCACCTCCTGGTGCGGTGCGTGCTCTTCAGTTCCCCTCGGACACCACGCGAGCTCCAACGAGCTCGAGGTTCCCGGGCGCCTCCACGGCGTGCTTCCCTCCGACGAGTTTGCTCTGGCAAGACCTCACTGAGGACGACCTCATCCACCCCGCCCACGGCAATGACGAGTACGTCCTCAACGGCTCCCCGGTTCTCCTCTTCCCTCAGCCACCGCCACTGCACCAGGATGCCGCCTCCTCCACCTTCAGCTAGGACAAGAGGGCCGGCCGCCACAAGCACCCTGTTTGCTTACCGTTTACGTGGCTTATAAGTCGGTTGATGCTGTTTTTATTGTTAGAGAAAAATATTATATCATGGCTGATAAGATCAAGCGAATAGAATGAGAACTGGAGCACTAGACAAGGGAACCAAACACATTGATTCTAATCCAGCCTTAGATAGTCCATGCAACAAAATAAGTGCATATTTATCGAGGCTTCAATTCTAGCCAGGCTTCAATTGAGACGGGAACCAAACACACCTACAGTGAATCCTACAGTGAATCTTGTCTTTTTTAGTGGACACATCGTCAATGTAACAAGATGGGAAGCAGGTGAAGCTTGCCTTTGTGGCTAGTCGGTGCTTTGGTGGCGTGTCTAAGATCAACTGGGAGAAGGAAGAAACTTGACTGTTGGTGAATATCTTCACTTAGACCAGTGGTGGTGCCACGTATACCACAGGATACATCGCAATTCTGGGAGAAGCTGCAAGACGCCCGAAAGCCCTCTCCGATCCAAACCATAACATGTTTTGGATTGTCACAACAGCATTGAATCTGCCATCGCCATGCGAGACAAGCCGTCAAGGCAGCGACCGTAGAAGCTGTTACTAGCAGGAGATTGCTTAGTACTGATTTAGGCATGCGTGATCTATTTGTCGAGGCATGCTTGACCTATTGTCACAATGTTAGGCTGCAAGAGCTACCCCATCCTACATGGCACCAATCATTGCACGAAGCCACATGCTCGTGTCATCGACGCTATTGCACATTGTTGTCCTCTAAGGCCACGTTTAGTTTGGTGTCTGATTCGGTGCCGCCAAATCCAGGGAGGTACTGTAGCTACAGTACTTTTTCAAACATTGACTAATTAGGCTCAAAACGTCGTCTCATAAAGTACAAACCAAACTGTGCAATTAGTTTTTGATTTCGTCAACATTTAGTACTCCATGCATGTACCGCAAGTTTGATGTGACGAGGAATCTTCTTTTTGCATAGTGCCAAAATTAGAAATTTGGTGAAACTAAACAGGGCCTAAGGTTCTAGATAGAGAAAACCACAAGCATCCCTGCAAAGGCCGCCGTCCACAACGAATTGTCTTTTGCAGTTGCAGGTTGTCAGGTTGACATGGACG